GGTGCAGGAAGATACACAGGACAAGACTTTTAGCCACTGCTTAAAGCTTTTCTCAATCCCTCATGTGCTCCAAACATCACACAATCTATTTACGCATTATGAGTAGTTTCCCCTCTCAACACACACACAGAGGCTTCCCCTCCCGTAAAATCCTTCACAGCTCCCTTTTATTTCCCTTTTACTTTGTCTATGCCCAACATGTCTCATCACCTCTCTGTTATTCACCTCCTTTCAACTGATCTAAAATATTTCACAAATGTCAAGTCTTCCTGACAGTCTAGCCTGAGAAACTGCTTACTTCCAGCTAAGCCCCTTTTCTGCTCTGAAGAACCTCAGACCGGCTCTTCCCAGATTTCAAAAATCTGTGTTCACTCACTACTAAAAGCAGCAGAAGTCACCTAACATTTGTTCCTTCAAACGACCCACTGCACTATGGAAGTTCTCACAACTCAGATTTACCATCTTATTTCCATTCAGTTCAGTTAACCACATTCATAAGTTATTCTCAAGAAGTAACTGTAGTTAGACTTTGTCAAACTGAAAAATCTGAGTGTTGAAGAAGGCTGTGAAATTCCGCCATCAAAACATCATCTTTTGCTGCGTTTCTAAACACTATTAAAAAGTGGATTAAGATTTAACGTGGCACATTTGTGCCACTGTTACAAAAACAAAGCCAGAACACCTCCCTTCAGAACAGATGCCAAAACCTTACCTCTCCTATCAAGTTGAGTGGAAAGAAAGTAATAAACACCATAAGCTCACAATGTGAGACTGCCGTGGCCAGGTGCCAGTATTTTTGTAATAATGGAATGGTTTAAGTAGTCACTGTGTCCTCTCAGACTGTCCTGCAATTCACTGTACTCAGTATGAACAACTAGTAGTCTGAAGAGGTCAACACCACGTGTCACTGGATTAAGATTTAACGTGGCACATTTGTGCCACTGTTACAAAAACAAAGCCAGAACACCTCCCTTCAGAACAGATGCCAAAACCTTACCTCTCCTATCAAGTTGAGTGGAAATAAAGTAATAAACACCATAAGCTCACAATGTGAGACTGTCGTGGCCAGGTGCCAGTATTTTTGTAATAATGGAATGGTTTAAGTAGTCACTGTGTCCTCTCAACACAACGTGTCACCTCAGCCAAGAGGCTTCAGTGATACTGCTTCCAAAGAACAACAACGAATAACATTAAGAATTGTAATTTCTTCCCGTGTTATTTCATGTGACCTTGAGATTAACAAGATGGCCCACATATTGTTTAAAGCAGTCTGAAACACTCTGTACAAGCGCAAGACGTTCCCTGTCCTCTTCAAAAGACCAGGAAGTCCACGATTCCGATAAATAAATAATGCCAGCATGGTCCCACATTCATTCAAAAGATAAGAAGTCAGGGCACATCACAGCTGGGGCTCCTAATGAGGGCAGGTAGCCTTACATTTTTTTCAGCACTGACTGGGTGGCTCAAGGTGATCTATTACAGCCATTGCACCAACTATGCAAATCTGAAACACACCGAGGGCAGAGTTAAAACAAAAATAACATGCATTAAGCAGTCTCTGCCCACATGCTTCAGGGCTTCCCCTGAAGTTCTACTTTACAAGCAACACTTTTAGAGTGAGCAGGCTCCTATTTTGTTTTTTAAGTTTTGTCAAGATAAATAGCATTAAACAAACAGAACAAAGATGAATGACTAATAAACATCTGAAGTGACTGAATCACAAATTAGTACCGCTCTCAGGAAAAGGACAACCCAGAACAAACACAGGGTAGCGACTTACCATAGCGTGTGTTCAGGAAGTTCTTACTGCAGAGTCTGAGCTGCCTGACACTCCTAGGTTTTAACAAATGTAAAGGTAACACTGACAGGACACAAGGCAGGGTATAACACAGAAGGGATGACGACTCTTTCGCACTGAGTGGGAAGGAAATAAAGAACCACAGGTCTCTTCTCAGAAGGGTCTAACTAGCATTCCTTGCACCAACTGAGTGCTAACCAGGACCTGGAAAATATTACATGCTGGGGAGAAAGAAAAAGAGAAGATGGGAAAGGGGGAAGAGTTAGGTCTCTCTGATCCAGCACTTTGCATCCTTGCCTTTTCAGCTGAATGACTTAACAGGCATCTTGTAAGTATGGTCCAAAAATAGAGTCAAGATAAAGCTGCGAGTTGAAAAGCGTGTGGTATGCATTGTATGGAGCCCTGACAGAGGCCTAGAGACATTTAAGTTACAGACAAGTAAAAATGCACAGACAGAGATGAGACACAGACATTTCAGGCTGCGTACATTGCCACCAGTGTTACCTTCCCACTGGCTAGGTCCCTACAGATCTTCCTTATGCTACTAATCACCCTAGCAAGGGACTCTTCGCATACATTTTGCTCCTTCTTGCCTTTAGCTAATAGAGGCATTCACAACAGAGTCCTTCAGATAGCTCATGACCAGTGGCACTCAAAAGCCTATGGAGGATAAAGAAGGTCAAATTTATACGCCAAGAGTAAGGGTCAAAACAGAGACAGTGCTGCAGTTACACCAATCTCAGAAGAGTAGAAGAATCTGAAGAGTTGCAAGATAAAAGACAGCAACTAAAAGAAACAGAGTATTTTCTCAGCAAATAATAAGGGAAGAGTGAGGACAAGAAGAAGGGGACTAACCCCACCAGCAAATCTCACCACTGTCCCCAGAAGCACAGCTGCATGGTATGATCCTGCAGTGCTAGGGGAACCCTTTGTCCCATTTTAGCCTGTGCTATTTTGCAAGCAGTAAGACAAGCTAGAAACACTACTTGCCTTCCAGAAAAAAATGTCTTCACAAGATGCTCCCCTGAATGATCGGCCCCTACAGCCAAGTCTGAATTGACTGGGCCAGTCACACATAATCTGGGACATAGGAGGAGGTCAAAACAAGGTCTGCAGGCTCTTAGCTGGCATCTGGCTCCTCCTCATTATCATGTTACTTCAGCTGAGCTTCTGCTTTCAAATGACTGACCTGGAACTAGTCCCTGCATTTTCTTCCCGGAAGTTTCCGAACAGATGCCTGCCTTCAGGGAGAGGGAAGAGAGAAGCATGCTTTGCTGAGGAAGCAGAGAAGACACGATACAGAGACAGCAAAGTAATCAACATTTTGCTGAAGGCGCTCTGCAGCCAGGGTCATTTTGTTCCCTAGAGAGCTCCTTGGCAATCTTAAATAAGCATGACTTCTTCTTTCCAAGGCATATAAACAAAATACACCAACTCTTTCAACAAGGTAATTAGTACTTTGCTTTATGTTTTATGTGCCAAAATGTAAAGCATGCCAAGTGTCAGCTTCAGAAAAAGCAAGGCCTGTCAAATTAGGATATACAGCTTTCCACTGCAAAATCCTATGGCCATCACCAAACAACATACGCAAAAGTACTACTACCTATACAGATGATATCCTGTGTACTGAAGGACTAGAACACATCTGCAAAGCAGGGCTCCTGCAAACAGCCTTCTGCTATTGTAGAATACTTTAGGTAACCTACAGCAGAGAACAGTCACCTTAATAATGAACAACACTCAAACCTTTAACCTAATTCTTCCGTTAATTTTCTTGGTATATGCCTTGTCCCCCACAGGTGCCACTTCCTCAATAAAAGTATTCTGAGACACTCAGAACATTCACAGCACCCATCAAAGCACTGCAGATCACTTCTTCAGAGATTGTAAAATTGCTGATGATGCTGTAAGAGGGGATACCTTCTATGTTCCTCTACATACTACAATCACACTTCTGCCAAGCCTTTCCCTTGCATGCTCAAGACAGCTACTCTCACATAACCAACGTAGCAAACTCCCTGCAGCCTAGTTTCACCTCCTCAGTGTGAATTGCAAAATAGAGAACCTTCTTAGTCTTCCTTTACACCAGAGTTGTTATTGCTGTAGAGTGCACACTCTCACTTCCTCTGTGAGCATGGATCAAGGAAGTGTGTCTGCCTAGCCTGCATTGCTCATAACAATGTGCTTAGCTAAACCAGACTTCAGCAACACTATCTAATCCTGATTTTAAGAAAAAAAACCCCAAACAACCCTGAGAAACTATCACTTCTGTTGACACCATCCGTACCTAACCAACAGTTGCAGCTTTTACTATGTACAAGCAAAGGGGTAAAATTATCACTGTAACTTCTGGTTTCCAGAGTCTCAAGATAAGCCATTTATATACTCAAACAGGATCATTTACCAATGGATAACCCTGAACCTTCTGAGGCACCAACTCAGTTTCACTCACTGTGTACGGCACTAGTGGTTTTACGGAAGTCATATGATCAACTTAAGCTGAAGCTTTATAATGCACTTCTATTAACCTAAGTTCCACGTGGAGTTTCATGTCTGTTTGTATGCATGAACAGAAACTTTCCAACTGATAAGCTGTAACACTCCTCCAAGGTGTGAATAGTCTCAAAACTTCTTGAGGTTTTGCAACAACTGCTTTTGCATTGTTTTCAGAGGCTGAAAAGAATCTTATTTAAAAAGAAGACAGACAGCCCATACAACACCGCCAAAGATTGAAACAGAATTCCAAACATCACTTGTAGCCGTCAACTGAAAAAAAAGACTGATGAATTGGAAAAGAAAGAGAAGAGGGATGTTACTACGAAGGAGCAGTTTGGAGGGTTTGTACTAAAACACCTTGCAAGTCTTATTCATACAAACTGTAAGCATACCAATGATATCAAGGTAGCTTGATATCCAAACCAAACTCACCAGATGAGCATGTACCACAACTGGTACATTATGAGTTTACAAGACACTTGCTTAAAGACACACTGGGAGCCCATCAGAGCTGGGGTTAATATCAAAAAACTCAGCTCTGCACTCTCCTGACACTCTCACGTACAAGACAAAAGCCCTGGTTCAGGTAAGAACCAAGTCTATCGGTCATTTGAGCCACATACCAATACAACTACACAACCATCTCAGCATAAATGTTCCTACACGAGAGGAGAAGTAAGTTCAGTGCAACTCCCAGAGCACTCACATCTATTGCATCTCTTTCAAATATGCGGAGCTGCAGAAACAGCTCAAGCTTGATCTTGCGTTCTTGAAAAAGCTCCTCCATCTGAGATTGGGCTTCATCCAGCTGCTGCAGGACTGTCTCTATGTGGTTGATCGAGCTGTTATGGGGGGTCTTGTTACTAGAAATGGCAGAATCCCTATTCAAAACAGAGAGGGGAAGAAAGAAAAAAAAAAAAGTATTATTGAAAAAAAACCCGTACAATTTCGATGCTATACCTAACCACAAACTCTAAGACTGTTTCAGATGAGGTCAGTGCAAGTCATATTACATGAAAGCTAAGTCTGCACATTTTTCTTAATACAAGTCCAAATTATGTTTTAGTACTTGGAAAAGCATTAGGAAATTAGATTACTTCCATTTTTTGACTAATTCAACATTTAAGGACATTCTGTTTACAGGAAGAGTAAAATTTAAAACCAGAGAAAAACCCTTATATTGTGAAAAGGAAGTGGCATATGATAACTATTTACTTTACTGAACCTTTCTGGCAATGAAAAAAAAAAAATCAAAATTAGATAATAATTAAAAAAATTACTTAATCGTTTACTTTACTATAAAACCTGCAAATTCAGATATGATAATATCAGCTCCTGCAGTAAAGGGGACATGTATCACTGCAGCTGGCACCGAAATTTATTTAGATTGTTACTGAATGCAATGGACTGCAAACTGATGGTCTTTACTACAATAAAGTTACTTATCAGTCTGCAAAACAATTTCCAGTATCTTTTTATAAAAAGGCTGCTGCTCAGAAATTAAAACGCTGTGGACCCCTGTATGTCAGACTACAAAGACATACGATTGCTCCTATCACAAAGGTAGCTTACGTAAACAAAATCTCCTTCTTGTGGAAGTAGTGTTTATAAACTGAGCTTCCTGTACACAAAGGGTTAGAGATCATCAGTACAGCATGAAACATCTTTGCAGTCCTAGTATTTACAGGTTTTATTTATAGGTCATATCTTGTAATCATCATCTCTAACCTCAAAACAGAAAGAGTATCAGACGTACACCAGAAGAGATTTAAATAAAAATTTGTTTTACCTTAGTTGCTGTATAAGATCTTCACCTTCTTTTATGACGTTGACTGTAACCTGCAGAGTGGTCTGTTGTTGTTGACCAAAACGTTTAATCAGGTCTTGGACAGCCTCCACAGACTCAGCATAGACATCATCAAGCAGTTCTTTCTGTAACTCTTCAAGCCATGTCCACAGCTAAAGGAGAAGGGGGGAGAAAAGAAATGTAAGCCCCAGGATCAGGCAGTCACTATTCCAAATCACCGTCCCTGGACAAGAGAAAACAGACTGAGGTGGGGGGTGAGAAACAGGATTTGTTTCTCTTCATAGAAAAACACCATCCTCAATTTCATAAAAACAAGCCTTTGTTTCAAGTAAGGTTTTTGCTTCTTGGAAATACCAGGAAAGCCTTATCCGTGTTGCTAAGTCACCCTTTCTTTCCCATTTTCCTTCTACAGTACTGAGTGTATCCGACTGAGCAGCACAGAGTTCATAGCGAGAATCCCATCTGCAGCTCTGCGCGAGAGTCCCTGGGAGGGAAATGCTATGGCAACACTCCCTGAGAGAAGGGAGGAAGGAAGGAAGGAAGGAAGGGAGATGTATTGTAGCCACCATCAAATTTACACTGCCAGGCTGACACATGCACACAGATAACAGAACACTTTTCAGTGGCCTTCAAAATCGGGAAAAGAAAAGGGCATTTCAGAAAAACAAAATACAGAGAAAAATCAGATGTGAGTAGTTATTTTTCTACCATGATCTCTACAGCTATGGTGTTTACCCTCTTTGTCTCAATTTCACACCGTTACAACAAAAGTCATCACAAGTAATTCCACCAGTCAATTCAGCGTTTCCCCCCACACACTTAACACATGCACGTATTCCTGTTCTGAACTGCCCATGCATTGCAGCTTATGGAAAAATACCTAGGTGCATGCTAGCTAGGTATCACTACTGGTCACTGGAACCCTAGTGTGTTCTTTTCCACAATGACATGAGGCAAGCTGTTGCATCCTAAACTCTCTGTGAAAATTATTCATCAACAAACCATCAGCCATCCGTTGTGCAACTGACAAATATGCTGCTTGAAGAGAGGGAGCACGGCTGACTCCTGCAGCACTCCCGTGAGCAGCACTAAGAGCACAACGCAACAGCTACGCTCGCAGGAAGCATTCAAACCCGGTCCCTCCTCTCTATTTAACCGTCACATCCCAAACCCTGCAATTCCAAGAACAAGGATTAAAGTTTGGTTTTTATTCTGAAAGAATAACTCTGTTCCGATTCAAAGTATTAAGGTCTTTTGACTACATTTTAATCTCCGCTTTCCTACATTTTAGAGATACAAATAGGCTTTATTAGCTTTGAACCTAATTAAAAGGTTAACGTGGTTAAAATACAGACAGTAAGCAATGAAAACCAGCTTAATTTCAGAAGACAGAAAAATGAATATTTTCTTTATTTCTTTGCTGAAGATTTTCTACAGAAATATCCACTTCAAGCTGCTGTTTGTATAATGTTCTGATAATAAAGGTTTCCTAACTATCAAAGGAGCTACATTAAAATAGAAAATTCAATAAAAGATTCCAGATCTTGATTAATCGACTACTTTGAAGCTTTATTTTAAAACCAAGTGCTAGTTTTTATATCTTTTATATCTTTCAGCCTTACAGCTGAGGTAGGTTGTGAGTTATCCAAGCTATAGGCTAAATTTTCATAATTGGGAGGAATTAATGACACTTAACCAGACTCTTCTCTACAAAACTACTACCCCCCAAGAAAACTCCCAATCAACTATGGAACTGCCTATTCATACACACTGTGTTATTCTGACTACTCATATGCTTCAAAGACAATGCCTGTCACAGATTTGAATGCAACTCCATAGCCGTAAACACCACAAGCTCAAGCCACAGCAGTCTTTCTTATTAAAAGCATAAATCAATAGAACTTAGCAAATGGGTCAAAAGCATTCATCAACATTCATTCCAGCATAACCAAATGCAGCATCCAAATTTATTTTTTCCCCAAATGCATACTTAGGAATGCAAATTTCACTTCAAGACAAATGAAACTTAAGAGCAAGAAGCCTGACAATACAATCTGAAAACTTTACTCAGGTTTCAGCACCCAGGAGACACGTTTTCACTCCTCTCTTAGCTTATGAAGTTTATGTCTGAACTGTAATAATAGGACACCCTGTTAGAGACCTTCCAAGTGAGCTGGTATGTACACACAAACAGCGCAGCTTGCAACTGTGCAAATATATTCATTTGAGAGTAACACTTTGTTGTTCACTGCAGATCTCATGAGGTTGGTGCTAGCTGGAAGAGCTCTACCTCACGCTTATTGCACTGTCTATAAAAGGCCAAATTTTCAGAGACATTTATTACAGACAAACTGGAATTAAAGCCATTTTGAGTCTCTTGGACTGTATCAGTTTGCCTCTTGGCTCCCTTACAAGCATCTGCACTGTGGCTCAAGGCAGGTCTAAGAACCATTTCAATTTTTTTCCAATACATCTTTTGCAGCTGAGTTGTGTCACACCTGTGCAAGGGACACCTCACCTCTACAATTCTTCACACACGCTTCAGCCACTTCTGTAACTGGGTGGAGAGGACCTGGCAGAAGCAATGAAATTTTTATGTGTTGTGCTGGTAATGTACTGCACACAGAAATATTTCCCTTAAATCTCACCCTGGATGCTGGAGACCAAGCCAACGCAGAACAAGCAGACCTCTGCATAGCCAGCTCAAAGCAACCTGCCTAGAGCAGAAAGACCTGGGCACTAGCACAACAGCGTGCTATGCTGACTGGCTTAGTGCCTGGTCAGGACGGCATGACTGTAAACTTGGTATATTGCCCCCAAGGTACCAAAGGGCTCAAATATGCACTGCATTTGCCTAGTTCATTAGTTGAATCGCCAACTGTTTGGGAAGGAAAAACATTTTACGAATGTGCAGAAAGAGAAGGATGTTAATTAGTATGCATTACTTGTCTGGCTGTGATTCATATGCTGTTGAAAGTGGAACAATTTAAGCCATTTCTGAAGTGACCAAACAGCTCTGTGACACTTCCATAGCAAAAGTTACTCTAATACATTACCAAATAAGCTTTTTACACTAATACATTACCAAATAAGCTTTTTATGTTTTTCCACTAAGTAAGTTTCTGACAAACAGCTCCCCTTCAAAATAATCTTGATGTTTATACACAGAAGTTAGAATAAAGCCGCAACACAGATGAATAAAACCGCCAGGTTATTAAAGCTGCATAGAAATTCATGCAATTTACTGAGAGGAGCTTAATTCATAATTGGTGGCACTAGCCAGCTGACTTACATACAGCTTTAAAACCAGAATGAGTACTGGATATACTGGAAATTGCATAAATTACCTTGTTTTCGGATACAAAACCAAGGATGAAGACAGTACAAGGTTGCACAGCAAAGCCAAAAGAAAGCAAACAGTTTACAGTGGTGGGTGAACAGAGAATGGAGCTTACCCATACATGTTCAGCAGTGCAGAACTACAGATTTTATAGTGTAATGATTTTCTGAGGTAACACATTATTCCGTAAAAGAGAGCTTGGCAACAAAAATCCAGTGGGGGAAAAAAAACCTAAGCTTGTCATTAAAAAACTATTAACTTTCCCTTGGTGTGAACTTTTGAGCAACTTCTAGGCATGTTTTTTTCTATTTTCTGTAAAAGAAGCAGCACGAAGGTCTTTAAACAAATGTCCAAGTCCTGTGACCTCAGTAAGAGCTTTATCCAGCAGCAAGACAGCTGTAACATACAGCAAGAAAACTGTATAAATAACTCAATCCAGTCACAGAAGGAGGCTCTCCTCTTTTCATCTGCTCTTCACATCTTATCGGAATTAAAATTGGAGAGGGAAATCAAATTCTGAATCCCTGACAGGCAAATGTTTCACCCAGCAGATTTTTTTTCTTCAGCTAAATATAGCACAGACTAAGAAACATCTGCTTGAACGAGCCTGCATCCTGTGCTACCTCTTTCCTAAGTTCTTGGGAGCATGCCATTAGTCACTGAGATGGTATTATTTTAATTGTCTGCAACATCCTGGAAGTTTCAGTGTTTCCATCATGGGCCTCTATCCATTTAAGTCCCATCCCTGCAGTCTCCTGAAAGACCTTACAGTATTTTGCCAAATATAATCGGACAACCATTTATTTTTGAGTAAATACCTTCCCCAGTGTAGATAATATAAAGTAGGAAATAACAGAGTTATTTTATTAAGGTAAAATATCTGTCACTATCTCACGATGTATTTTCTTTTTCATTTTTGTAACAATGGCTTTTGGATATGCAGTCAGCCTTTTCAGCAGGGCTAAGACAAAGAAAAGCACACAGTTTCTGCATTTAAAACTGCCAATTCCTCTTTTCTGCCCCTGCCTCCCAGCACAGTGTTTCAGTATGTGCATGACCACAGGCACAGTTGTTGAAGGAGCTATTATTTGTACAGGGCCAAATGTCACAATAGCATTGCCTAAAAAGCATATCTCAACATAGAGAATTATTCAGAATAAATTCATCCTTGAAGCAAAACCAAGTATCTCACATCTTTCTAAAATTACATCAGCTACCAGTACCCTGTTAGCATTCATCCCATTTCTTAACTGAACAAGAAAAAAATGTCTATACCATAGTTTCATAGAGCTTAAAGGCCTATTTCTGCCTCACTTCTCTCAAGCGCTTAGTGCTACTTCAGTAAAGCTTGGACTTAAATTTTGTCCCTTTTTTCAAGCAAAGCAGCTACCAGTATAGAAAAACTCAAGAGAGAAAATCTGTGCTGGGTAACTGGATTATAGTCCTACCAAACCAGTAAACCACAACACACTTCAATGTGCTTCCACTGAACGTGTTTCTCATATTTCAGATTTAAAAACTGTTCTCCTCAGCTCTCGGATTCAAGACAACCAGCAGATGAAAGTACTGACTGAAGACTGACATATATTTTGCCGGACCCATCACACTGAGCACTGCTGTGCTATGACGACACAATAAAAATATCAGAGATGCACAAAAGCCCAAGGGACAGAGCCTTCACACTTCAATAGTGCATCCAAAAGCTGCTCTGCTGCCTGGAAAAGGCATGCAGAGGAGAGAGCAGCCTTACTATGACACCCACATTTAAGCTCTAGACCACCAGCACGGAAGACTCAAATACTCAGGAGTGACAGGCAACCAGCAGAGCAGGTCTGTCACCTCAGGGTCCACCCTGGGATGAAACAAATGAAAGGCTGTGTGGGTGAACAGCCTTCCATATCAGAAAATGCAAAGGACGGTGTATTTCTGGCGGTGAGGCATGAGACGATGTGAGACCATTTATCAACAAGCACTGTTGAATCAAATACACACGCCTTACAGCTAGGTATGAATGAATCGGCAGTGTCATGGCCAGAGCAAAGCCTCCTCAGCCTTCCTATGCACTGGCACTCTCAAAGCGATGCTATCTTCCTTCAACAACTTGCACGGACTACTGTTTCATCAATTTTGTTCAGGAACAGGGAGGTTTTGTATTTGAAATCTTAGCCAAATCCACTTCCTTTTTCTTCGTTTCAACCTCAGTATATTCTGGTGTAAAGTCTAGTTTGAGTAAGACAAAAAAAAAGGGACATCTAGTAACACCATTAAGTATATTGTGTATACATAAAAAGCCCTCTGAGCTATTTTGTAATCAACTTGTCAGAATACACACAAAAGGTTATATGCAAAAAGCCAACAGGCTCTTAAGAGATCATTCTCTTCTATGTACATTCAGCTCTCATCTGTATTCCCATCCCTGACTCCAGTTAGGAAAATATCTGTTGCTCTACTTTGGCACTACTACAAACACCTGGCTTGGCCAGGATTTCAGTCTTCCCACTCACAGATGCTGAGGGAGACATTTCAGAGAGAGTGTGTGCACACGTGTGTCTGTATGCATGTGTATGGCAGAATTTGAATTCACACCAAAATCCTGTTCATGTCTACTCGGTAACAGGTTTCACAGCAAAGACTACCGTGACTCTTGCTCCTATGTTTTGCACACAACTTTTTATGATAACCTTTTATTTAGGAAACGTATCTTTTATCTGTGTCATTTTTTTTCTCACCTTGTCCCTTCCCGTATTATTAAATGTCAAAAGGCACAAAAGTCATAAGGGATTCACTGTCTTGCAATAGTCAACCATTTCAGATGTTCAGTGGCTGAAACCAGGACACCCATCCTCAGGTTGGGAACCTGCCAGGACACAGTACTTTCAAGGCAAAGATTCTGATAGGGATATCTGTGGTCCCAAACACTTTTAAAGCTTGCTGGTGCATGGCTTAACTTCAGTACATCACTTACTGAAAAATTTGGCTTATAGATCAAAATTTCTCACTGTTTGAGTTGGAGTTAAAAATCAGTATTCACAACCTTACAAACTTAAAACTCGTAATAACAGAACAACATAGAATCACAATTTTTATTTTTTTAATATATATATATATAGCAAGCAACTGATTTTCTCGGATCACCATTAAGCAAAATGAGTAATGGTGATACCATTACATAACATCGTATTTCTGGCTTCCCTAAACACATCTTTTTCCTCCCTAGCGAAAACTGTGGTCTATTGAGGTGGGTCTATGAGCAGTTTGAGAACTTATGTGCTGTTTTCTGATTTTTGTAAGCCACAGGGAGCTCTATCAGCTTGTAACCACCTGGCCACAGAACTTCTAGAAATGTTAAAGACAGACAGCATTTCCAACGTGCATTTTAATAGGCTGCTGCCCACATACTGCACAGCTGCTTTGTGCACAGGTATAGCAAAAGTCTGTTATTTCCAGGACATGTCAAGCCGATCTATTGCTTTTGTGGCAAGCACGCTGCTTCTGAAGGCAGAAATTGTGCTGATTTACTAAGTGTGAACAGAGTAACAGCACCGTGCAGGCACAACAGGGCTGATGCTTCCCAGGGAAGCTGGGAAAACTTGCAGGCAAATTCTGTGTCAAGTATAAAGGTTATGTAAAGCTACAGAGGAGAAGTAGTATTGGAATGCCCTCATCCAGACGAGGAGCATTCATTCAACGTGAAGTATTTCTGGGGAAAAGAATAAAACACAACAAAACTTCCTACTTCAAAAAATCAAGGGACTGAACAGGTTTCAGAGCCAGATTTCAAAGCCTCAAAACAGACAACTCTGATTACCAGCTTTTTGCAGCTCTGTAGCTCCCTTCAAACTGTCACCCACAAACAGGGTTTTTATTCTTCATGCCTATTTTTTAGACCAGAAAAACACAAAAAAGATACAAGAAACATAATTCACAAATAATTGAAGGGAAAAATGCTTTGGTGGTGTTTATTTTTCATACAACAACTGAAACATCTCTTTCCAGTTCAACAACTAGCATATTATCCCACCACTTGAACCCCTCTCTTCATCAGCTAAGCATGCACATTAATTTCTTCACCATATAGAAGAAAAGTTACATGCTAACAGGTATGCACTAATTTATTCAGCGACTTCCCACATCCTGCAGGAGAAATGCAGTTCTCCTGCCAACAAAGCATGGATGACTTTCAGGTTTAGGGCATTTTTATCTTCCATCTGCTTTGTGATGCCTTTTCAGCACTCCACATGCATGTTTGATAACAAACACCATGCTCTTAAAAACAGATCAGAATACAGAAAGCACAAGACAGCTTTGAGCTTGTTGTTTCTTTGCACCTTAACCAAGAGACTAGTCTAGTAAATATGAATCACCTGCCTCACTCTCTCATCTATATTTTTAAGTAGAATGCAAATAAATAATATAGTCTTGCTTACGGAAATAAATACTCTATTTAATTTTCCTTGCTTTATTAGGTAGAGAGCCACATGACAAAAACAAGAAAATCAACATGTGTACATCAGCCACAGTACCCTTGCCCCCAAAGTCCAGGCTGCAAGGCGGCTGCCATAGTAACAGCTGTGTGCATTTACAGGGTCAAAATAATATCCATTTTCCCAAAGAAACAAATCAAGATACAGAATAGCTTTTTTTTCCAATAAGACATTATTATCTAGGGGAGCAGTGGCACCATTCCAGCACATCTGGATCAGCCTCCCAGAATTACTCAACAGTGACTCATAGATCAGTCTGCCTTTTGTTTTTTTGCATTTCTTAAAGCCCTTTCCTTGCAAATCCTTTTGCAGTACCTGTCTTTCATCACTACAACCAACTGTATCCACTTAAATACCATTCCAGCTACTCTGCTTGATGCTAAGAAAAACAGGTAATGAAGAAATCTATAGAAACAATGAACACGTTTCAGCAGCTGACTGCTCCTGTGCTTCACAACAGGTAATGGAACAGCACTATGTGCTTGAGAGAAGTGAAACAAAAAACCTGCCCCCTAAGAATATGTTACCGTGCAGCATTTATGTTTTGTTTAAAGAAGCAGAGTCCTGGGAGAATATCGGCAAGGAAGCAGCTAACAGCAAACTGATGGGGGAGCTGTGCACTCATGTCTAGAACTGAACAGTAATTCAATCTTGACCTCCTTCAAAGACCAACTGCCTTGTGCATTTGTTTCAAGTGCAAAGCAGATGTTTCACATACAAAAAACTGCCGCCCTTATCTGCTACAAGGTTTTTGCTGAAGAAGCTACTTTGAATACTATACTTCCCCACTGAACAGATCATTTCTTGATGTAGGGTGAAGGGAAGGAAGACACATACTTTGACATGCTGCCATCCAGAAGCCTTTCATATTTTCACCTAGTTTGGGCTGTGAGAAGATTTAACATGAGCTCTAAACAAGTAATCTACAGTTGTCGGAATTTGCCACTACCTTTAACCAAAATGCCCTATTGAAATCCTTATTCTTGCTCTAACCTATTCCACCCTCTGCCATGAGCTTATAAATTTGTATGATCTGTGATCTGAATTGCAGCTGAAAACTGATCTGGCTGAAAATCAAGAGTGTTTGGCTGAATTTTTTTTTCCCTGGTCTATCAGTTCACCCTTTGAAGAAGACTAAAAATTCCAAACATGAGGCAAACCATTGTCATTATCAGATAAGCCCTTTAGGTTGTAAAGAAATGTCAATATAAAAGATCAAAATGTAATGTGTAAAACAGAGAAAGAAAACAAAGTCTCTCTGGGCAGCAGGGTTGCCTCAAGTAGCCTTGTGCTTCTGCCATGCATTTCAATCTCCTGAACTGTGTCTGATTAACCATGTGTCTGACAACTCAGCTGACTGCACTGGAGAGCTGGTTGGATAAAAAAAAACACGAAAAACCACAAAACCAAAAAAGCTCCAAACAGAAGTGCACAGTGTCTGCCCCCCACCATGCAATGATGTCTGTTAGCGGTATCGGTTCTCTCATCTGAGCCTCCCCCTTTCCCCGCGACTGAACAAGCATGCGTGCTTGCACAACAAAGGAGGCAGAAGCTGCTTCTGACAGTAAAAAAATTTAAATAATAAAATAATAAATTAAAAAAATGCATAAACAAAACAACCACCCTACCACAGCCCGCAGTCTGCTGTGAATTACAAACCAAAACTCATCGTAGAATAGGGGTTTCATGACTTCCTGTGGGAAGGTTCTAACAATGAAAGTAACATTGGACAATATTTGTTTTAAGGCTTAAAGTTATGACCACCACTTAGCAGCAGTTTTACCTCTTTAACATGAGTGTGAAAGGACACAGACATGTCCAGCAGGATCTTGCGTTGCTCCACACGCCTAACAAAATCCTGTATTCGGTCTTCGAGCTGATGGGCAGCTTGATAAATTTCCTCTGGGTCACACTCCCCAGTCTGAGCGAGCTGTTCGGCTGCTTCTAGGAGCTTATCTGCGTTGGTATATGTGTTCTGTAGAGAAATAAGTTCGTTTCACAGGATTACATGAAAGAACATTCAGTCAGTATATTTTCAAGCGACTCCACTAAAGAAAACAAAAGGTCAAAAGGACCCTTGGAATGTATTTTTTCTTCTTTTTTAAAAGGTAGCAGAATGTAATCTTACTAAAGATTTTGTTATATTTCTAGATGCTTTTTGATTTAACTGTGAATAAATTAATTCCTTAGCTCCTTATTTATGTCTACTCAAATGTCTCCTCAATCCAGAACTTGGGAGCCTATTTATTCTTCCTTGGAATTAGTATTTTATATTCACAACCAGAATAAAGATCAGCCTAAATGTCTAATTACTTGCAAACTGGCCTATTTCAACACTGGAAAAATCACTACAGTCATGGCCAGAAGACTTCAAATGTGTATTATTAGAGGTGAGAAAGTCCTAGTTGCTGGCAGAGACGCTTAACATCAAATCCACATGTCCAGCAGGAAGGTGGAAAGTAACCAGGCACAGGAGAAAATTTCCCTCCATCCTTACAGAAGTGAGGTATCCAAAATTCAAGTCAAGTGGATCATCATTTGTGAAATGGGAGCAACAGAGGAAGATTTAGAAGTCAGCTATGGCTGAGTGTCAGAGAGGGGAGTATTGTCCCAGTATGTCATAGGATTAACAAATGCAGATCAACAGTCCTGTGAGAGACTTGGGTCAAAGCAGAAAACAGAATGGGAGAAGTCTGGTACCTGATGTGACAAGAGTGCTATGGTCCAGAGAAGAGAGGGATGTTTAACAACTCTTAAAGCTTAGAACTTGCAGCCTGCACCTGTATCATTCTCACTAATTCAAAATAGGTCTGATTCCAAACATTTTCTGTAATTTCAGTGCTCTTTTTGAGCCTAACTTTGGGTTTTCATGTCTTAGAATGGTTCTCAAAATGACTCATCAAGAAAGCATAGAAGGTTGGTAACCTTTAGAGAAAACAGACTGAAGCCAAGTCTACACTAAAGAAGCTTTGCTTATGTCACCACATCAGATCTCCCGACAAGTTTGTACCACAGACTATAAAAAAAAAAAAAAAAAAAATTTTCTTTTTTTGCCTTCTGCCCTTCCACCTTCTCCCAACCTCAATTACATCAGGTAAAAACATTGCTTGCCAAGATAAATTAAGCCTATGAAAATGTACTTGTCTTTGCCATAAATATAGCATCATGCCTCTAAAACATTATAATATCCATAGAAGTTATATCCAAGCCCAGGCCTAAAACTCAACTAAGGGGCAGGAAATAAGAGCTCTCCGCCAGGGTCTCAAGCAAATTACCAGGCAAGCCCAGGACAGATTACACGACTCAGCGTAGCTTTCATATATTTGGGGAGTTCCCCCTTCATTTATGATGACCTATTTATGTAAGGAATTCTATCCACGCTGCTCCTTGATTTTGACTATATGCATCTTCCTTAAACTTCAGCTTTTTAATTGCATGGAGAAGTAGAGAACTCCTCCCCAGTTTCCCTGGGAAAGACTGCAGAGACTAACATAAGCCTACACTTCTCAGCGGGGAGAGCACTACTCAATGCTCTAGATCATTGGCTCAGGCCATGCTGGCCCTGAACACACTCTGATCTGTGCTTTAGTGTCTTCACTTCCATGGCTGCAGCTCACACGTGTTCAAGGGGCAAGGCTGAAAACCCTTAAGGCAGTCCTCAAACAACAACTACTTCATCAACCCAGAGAGCCACACCCAGCTGCAGATGGCTGAAACAGAAGTTTCCCATTTTAATGAAAACTTTATCTCACATGTAAAGCGCTGTTTATGAATTCCAGGAGTATCTTCCGCGTTAACACAGGCCCGGGCACATTAGACTTCTCTTTCTGCAAACTGGATGGTGAACTGCCTATACTTAGAAATGATCGCAACCTAGATGCTGCTTCAAAAGGAGTTGCAATTCTCAAACCTTAACAGCATACACATGCCTTATCACTAATATTTCTCTTCCAAGTAGAGCTGAAATACAATATAAATATTTATCTTGGTAGAGAGTAACTGCCCTTTGGAATAGAAATCACAGCAAATAGGTGTTCTGTACTAACCACTGCCTTTCCCAACTCTCTGCTTACTTCTAAACAATGCTTGGACAGATAAAAGTAGTAATGTGAAGATTTTGGAAACGTTGGTCCCAAGGGGCAGCCACAAGTTAGAAAACAGAAGGTTAGGCAGAAAGAGTAGTAGTTCTCCCTTGAAGCTGCTTATGCCAGTTTCCTAAATTGACAAAGGAGCCTTCACAGTAACAAATGCAACATAGAGTTCTGAAACAGATCAACACTTCCTCAGAATTTCTCCACTAGCACACCCTCCCCAAATCCCAGGGGAAAAGAATCAGCCTGGTAAGTGCTTTAAGAAGTTATCTAGCCAGCCCTCTGTGCCCCAAGGCACGAGCAACTATACTCGCATCTTTAACAGGCATTCTTCTCCAAAATGCTGAAAGAATCTCCATAATGGAAGAGTTCACCATCTTCCCCAGCAACGGATCCCATCGCTTTCCTAGTTTTCCTGTTGAGAAAACTTCTCTACGTATTCTTCAAAAAAAACCAAACATATTTTTATAAAACATATGAAGTGACATATCATAGAAAAGTCAAAGGTTAAATTTAAAAAGATCAGTGCAGAAATTAGTACTACCAACAAATAAAGCAACCGAAGTGAGTGGAGGTATAGACTGAATTTCATGTAAACTGGAGTCTACTGCAGTATGGAGGGCGGAAGAGACAGGCACACATGAATGGAGGGAGATTAACAGAGGTATACAAATAATGAAAGGTAGAAAAAATTAAGATAGATTACTCACTAAATACAGTGGATGCTATCACATTTACGCATCAGACAACACACTTAAAATGAAAAAGCAAAAGTACTTTTAATCTAAGAGGCAATTAAATTGCATAACCCATTGCCACAGAATCTGGCATACATTCCAACAGCATAAATGGGTTCAAAAAGTAGCTAGCTTAATTAACAGAAGAAAAGTCCATAAGTGACTATTAAACACTGGTTCTGATGCATCCTTCAGTTCCAGACATCAAATAGGCCCAGACAACTGGGAGGGTAAAGGTAACTTTTTAAGCATACAGTCCTTTTTCTTTGTGCATCTGGTGATGGCCATAAGATACAGTAAGACATGGACTTCAGTTTGATGTATTACAACCATTCATAGCTAAAGTACAGTTAAGAACCAGCTCAAATACATAACCTTTTTTTACAACCTTAAAGAAGGTGGGAACTGCTGGTGGTAGGGAAATGGTAGATGTATTCAAACGAGGTTTGGAAGAAACTGTCTTATGCGTCTCTTGCACCAAGAAAACTTGAGTTCTTTACTCAAATGCAGTCTGCACATGGAGAAAAGAACTTACCTATGGAAAAAAATCCCAGTAATTAAATCTTGCCATATACCTTTCATGTTTTTTGAGCATAGGCTACTGTCAAAAAGCAGACATTGATCATAGTTGAAACCGGAGAAGTTGACTTAGAATTTCATACAAAAATGCATGAGAAAGTACAACCACACTACTGATCTGCATCCAATGCTTCTAAGCTGGAAATCCGTGCCCATAAGTGAACCAGTTACATCAAGATTTGCAGCCTTGACACTTTGACTAAATGGTCTCATGGAAGCAAAGATGATCATGAGGAGATGGGAAAAAAGAAAGAAAAAAGAGAAAGCAGAAAGTGAACTGGACAGGCTTCACATGAAAAGAGCAACACAATTTTACAATAGTGGATACAAGTCAAAGTGTGTCATGTGTTGCACGAATGTCAATACATCAGAATTTAGGAAGGATTGTTAGTTGGCTGAGTTTTGACTACCCAGTGTTTCTATAGTGGTAACAAGAAGTGCCAAATAAAAAGAAATAAGCCTTGATTTCACAGGAGTTTTAACGTGAATAATTTGTGAGCCCACAGCCCATTGACTCTGGAACATCTTTTCTATTCGACATACAGTTTGTTTTAATATCTCCTTCAACACTGCTGAGGAATTGCCACCTCATTCACAGTAAAAATAATGAGGGAGGAAGCAAAAAGGAAGAAAAGAAATAGTAATTTTCACTCCCCTCAAAATCAGAAGTAGCCTTCAGTCAGGAGTATTTCCACATTACTGTTGCCTCCCTGCATTTGACAAACCTGTGCCATGCCACTGACAGTTCACTTCATGCTGCTGCTTCTCAACTTCTGGCTAGAGCTGACTGAAAACCCCTAATTATGCCTAGGGTCCTAGTAAAAAAAACAACAAACCAACAAACAACAAAACAAAACACAACAAAAACCAACAACAACAAAACCCAAAACACAACAAAGACCTGGACCAACCAGAAACGTAGGTAGAGAATAAATCAGCTGAAAGTTATTCATGCTTTAACAAGGACTGCAGATTGCTGTCTTATACTTGAATATAATCTTCCTTATAACACCAACAACAGGAATGTGTTTTGGGGCCTGCTTACATGCAGTCTTAGAACAAGTAAGAAGAATAACTCACAGGGTGTGCCTCTCTTGGCAGTCACTACACTTTCAAAAGTTAGAGATTAAAAAAAATACTTATTAGATCATTTTGTCCATCCTTCTGTCAGTGGAAGATAGTCCCCTGTAGTATATTTAAGTTCTTTGACCAGTCTAAGTTTTCAGTATATCCAAAAATAGAAATTCCACCCATCCCCTAAAGAGATGATTCTAAACTCTAGTAACATTCAGTTTTAGGAAGTTTTTGCTAAGTGTTTGCTTTACAATTTTCTACTTTAAAGTACCACGCAAACTAACAAGATACTTTTTTAACAGTTTACATTCCACTAACAGTTCTACACACTTCATCCCCCTTGGCTACTCAAACACTTCTTTCTTCTTTGCTCAAATAACACAGTATTAAGTATGAGATCATTCAGGTTTTGTTAAGTGTTTTACAGAAACAGATTCTTGCTTGTCTGACCCAGAAAAATAAGCATTTCCACATGGAAAATATTACAGATTTTACTAAAAATGAAGTATTAGGCATGCATATGGAAAATCCAGCATGTGCATATACAAAACTAAAACGCTTATTATTTTGGAAAATTTTATAGGGCATCAATAGTGAGGAGCTTTCTGATGTTATTTGAAGTTCTTAGTCACTGGAGTGCTCTAAGACCATATTTACAATAAAATTTTATTAAGACCTTAATCATCCATCAAACAGGCAATCTGTAAACACACTTCTGATGCATCTGCCATAGCAGGTGTCGCCACTAAGATCCTGCGTGTTACTTCAGAATTTTCTAATAATGTGTCTTCTGTTTTGACTGAAGGACCAGTGTATCAACCCTACTTTAATGAGATTTATCTTGATGAATCTTAGAGATGTTTACTCTTATTAATCATTAAGACTGGACAAACAGTGCATGTTACTAATGGGGAGGATTCTAGCCTTGAGCTTCTCATGGGTTTTATTCACGTCATGCACTCTTTTTGAGGCTGCCACCCAAATCAACTTCCTCTTATGCTACCTGTATTCCTTAGTATATCTATTTCTTTCAGCTTGACTATTCCACGGAAAAGTGTGTTTTGAAGTTCTATCATCAGTTCCACTTAAGGCTAAAACTAGAGTCTTCCTATGCAAAAAGCATTATTATCAGTGATTCAGAACAAGAGAGCATATACGAACTCAATTGTGTTTAAAGAAAAAGCCCAAAGCCACGTTGGCCAGTTTGCTGGCTCACCTAGTTTCTTAGGAGTCCCCTCCTTCCCTCCCATCAGACTGTTGTGGGGATTTGGGAGCTCTCCAAGCTTAAAGTCAGGATGCAGGACTTTCAATTCATCTCCATCCTCTCTTACAGGCTGCACAAAGTTTAAATCCTAGAATCCCATGGAATTAAGTTACTTTAAAAGGAGAGCTTTCATTCGTCTGTGACTCAACATTTGAAAGCACGTTTCTGACAATAACAACAACAACAATAATAATAATAAATAGCAGCAGCAGTTCTGTTGAGTTTCAAGTCTCCCACTCTCTGTAGGACTATGGAAGTTTGTCTTTTTCTTACTAAAGCTGGAGTGCAAAGGAGAAATTAAATAAAAGCTTGCAACAGAAACGGAATAGTCCATTCTTGGAACTGGATTTTTTGTAGTTGAGCTCCCTCTGCCCAGCCCTTCAGTGACAAAGCAAGAATTTTTCATGTATTTCTGTGACAAATGCACAGTCCTTCATGTGATTGTTTTTACCTGTGCAACCTCTTCAAAGTCTTCATGGCGTTTCTGCAAAGCTCTAGCCCGATGCAGGGATTTTCCCACTCCAGTATGTTTGCTAAGAAAAGCTTCTCCATGGTTTTCAATCCAATCCAACACCTGTGGTACAGAAAAGAGACACACACAAATTCTCAGTGGATGCACTAATGTTGCAACAACAATTCAAGAAACAGAGAAGCTGTAAAGGGACTGCTTATAAGGAACCGTAATATTGGATTAAAACACAGTTATTGCCATTGAAGGACATTAATTACATCTCATTAACTTTTCTCAAGGCAATAACTAGCTCAAACTAGCTAAATCGTATGATTTAAGATTATATGTTTATTTCGAAGCCTACCAAGGACAACCTCATTTCTACACATTCATCAATTTGACAGTAATCTGATCCAAGTGGCTGGACCCCTTGTGAGAGTCTCTCTGTAATCCGTTTATGCCTTCAGCTGACATTTTTCTGTAATGTAACACTAATGGAGTTTGCACATTCCCCAACAATGCCAGTGTATAATACCATGATTCCCTACTATGTATTAAGTCAAGAAGAAAGATTCATTAGTAAAATCTTTAACTAACACAATAAAATTGAGTTGAAGTCATTATCAGATGAATGACAATCTGTGCATTCAGAACATATGAAGGATTTTGCCCCAATTCTGAAGAAGCCTCTCCTCAAAACATCAGATAAACATAATTGTGCATTGTAAATTTTATAGCTGAAAAAGTGAGGAATGAAAGACATTTTATGGACATTAAAGCTTCTATGACAATGACTGGACTGACAGCTTTATAAATAGTAAAAACTGTCCATGTAGTTAGTTCCTGACAATTAACACAAAGGATTACTGCACACATACCAAGTTTCTGATGAGTGAATGAACAAAAACATCTGGTCTTTCTCCAAACTAATACATCTTAGACAGATCTTCATTCATGTATTAGGTAGCATACACACAGTATTTAATAATTTGGAAGATACTCAGAGGTTCAAGAATGCTGTTCAGAATTAAAGACAACTGCATATAAGCAATTTTCTTAAGTCAGCTAAACATTTTTACACAGTATTTATGTAATGGTGTGGAATACTTTACCTAACATTTATCTTCAGAGTTCGTTCCTCTTTAAAATGTATTTTGTTTAATTTTGAATATACCTGCCAGAAACCTGTACCTTATCTCTCCTTACCTACTAGTGTCCTTTACTCTCGATTCCTGAAGTTGGGTAGGGTTTTTTTTTTTTTCTTTTCCTGTACTGAAAGCATTTGACACTTAGCATAACTAAAGAGAAAGACTTTTATTTTCTTCCCCTTCCAAACAGACTTGAGAACCATTCCTGCAGCATCACTCATGGCTACATTCAATGCACATGTAATCCCACACACTATTTCCATACGAAAAATACATGCTTTCTTTAGTAGACAAAATGAAACAATCTGCTGTGATTTTCTCATTTATCTTGACTGTTAGAATCTTTTCCGGTTTGCAAACTCTCTCCTACTGGACATCTTCAAAACAACAAACAATCCCATAACACCACATAATACAGCCATATCAAATCACCAACACTTCACTAAATCTCCCTGGCATCCACTTCCACTTATGCAATGTTTGGTTTTCCTAGTAAGTATTGCCAGAAGAATATTGTTGTGTTTTAGGTCAATGTACATTTTCATTTGCTTCTTTCAAGGGAAAGTACTGATCAGAGAAGGTAGAGTGGGGAGTCAAACAGGGCCTCAGCTATCTGTAAAGTTTATATTACCAATTCTTTTGACTGGTTTCAGGAGACTATTCTGCTTTTCTCATTATAAAAAGAGCTAGAGAGAGACATGTTTGGATGAGAAAATTAGACTGGACTCTGGAGACTACTAACAGTTATAAGCTAACAAATGAAATCAACAACAAAATCTGTCCCAGAAAACACGGGATGAAAAGCAGAAAGCAGCCCAGAGAGAGTGATTTTTGCTCCAGATAATGCTCAGTAACTTCTCAAGAGAAGAAATTGTTATAGAAATCCAGTACACAGATCATGATATCCACCAGTCAACTAAAGAAACATCGCTGACTCTAAGTGAAATCAGCGTGAATACAAGTCTTATTAGTGCTGAGCCTTCTTATCTTGATCCCTAACAAAACTGAAGAAGCACTCTTTATTTGGGAATTTCACAGCATGTAAAAGCAGAGTCAAGGTATGCTCTTGCCTGTCAGAGCTCCTGCATACCACTTTGACCAAAGGACAATACCATTAGCTGGCACTGATACTAGCCATTCAGCAATCTTAACTGATGCATTTGCTTCCTCTTCTGGGAGAGGTAAGAGTTACAGAAAGCATCATACCAACGCACTAAGGACTCTTTACTAATACTGAAAGCACACGGAATTCACTCCAGTAGTTCAGTAATACAGAGGAGTTTAAGAGGCTCAATGCTTCTCAGGGAAAGGGTGAGTAATACTATCCTGCACTACAGCAAGTTGCTTTAATGATACAATTAAGTTATAACTGCAGTCTCAGCAGAGCCATCCTTATGCCCAATTTAGGATCTAGAAAAATGCTTCTTTTTCTAGAACCAATATTGAATATATGATAGAAGAAACATCTATGGAAATATAGCTTCGTCTTGACAAATTCATTGCTCATGGCTGTAAAATATGCATTTTGTATATGCTGCTTGCAGAAGTAAACAATCTGATCTCTTGCAGATCCAACATGCTCATTTTCACCAGTCTTTCCCACATTATTATCCAGTCCTTATCCCCCACCCCTTTACCTACTTTGTACACACTCACTTTTCTATTCCCCACTACTTACTTGGTGCTGACACAACATTTAGAAGGGGAAGATGGAAATCTCTGCATTTATAATCTTCAGATAGTTAAAATGTGGAACTACTGTCTCCTAAAATGAACCATTTTACACCAGAACTGCCTCCAAATTCACAAGGGAATCACCCAGTGAAATCTGTATTATGTTGATGCTGAGCAAGTAGCAAGCATTCTTGGCCCACCCTTCATTAGTCAAGGCTGAAATAAGTGACTGTTACAACAAAAACTCAGACGGAGTCTTTGAGGCAGGCAGATCGAGGAAGGAGAAGCAGCACATTTATCCAGAATGGATAGAGAAGACACTCAAGGTCAGTAAGACCTAATAAATGTATGTTTTGAAAAAAAAACACTAACTACTACAAATAGGTTTTACTAATCTCTGGCTTCCAAACCATCATGAGTGGTTTTCAGGCCCCAAAACTGTCACCATACAAGTGTCAGCAGTATGACTCTACCAGCAACATCATCTTTACGTTCAATTTTGATCTTTCATGGCCTAGCAGCATAAACCCCCACACTGCTATTGCAAGTCTGCTTTACTTCTTTGTATCAGAATCAGAGCCAGCTCTTTTCCTTAGGTGAAAGGCTGGCATATATTAACCACTTAGTAAGCTCGTTATGCATGAAATTGTACTTTTATTAGCATGTTTTACATTAGAAGGACTATTTTCAACAATTGAGTGCAACAGCCGATGACCTCATTTTTTTTTTTTTTTAATTAAAATAAATACCCTCTTTTTTGGTGTTAATATACAAACTAACCAGGAACTAGATCTCCTGGCATGTTTCTGCTACCTAAGGTCAAACTCTGAGTTCCATTCAGTTCAAGACTGTCATAGGTTTTCATATTTCAAATTTCAGATTTGCTGTAGTTCACGTTACCTATTATTTTTAATATTTCACGCACTACTTACCTTACTATTTGCCCTAAGATATTTTTTACAACAAAAATTAAGTAATGAAGTTTTAATAATTTTACACTTAACTTAGTGCTTAAGTATTTTTTAAACTATTTTCTTTAACTTACAGGAAGAGATAGACATTGCATATAGAAGAATGTTGAGCTAACAAGATTGCTCAACTCTCCCCACTGCCTGCCTAAGTGTCTTTGTCAACTACTGTAAATGATGGAAGCCAGCTTATTTCATTCCCAACTGCTCACACCCAGCATCTTCTTGAAACAGGTGAGTGCAAGAAGTTTGGCTTAAAGTACAACTAATTTGGAAGAAACAAGATTAGTTTAACCAGAATGTGTCTGGTTATCTAAAAACTCCATTCAGAAGTTCCTGATTTGTGAACACCTCTACACTGAAATGAAAGGACATGATCAGCAAATAGTGGCCAACTTTACTTTTTTATGAAGATGAGCTATTAACGGATAAATTACTAATGTCTCTGTCAACTGCAGCCTAAAGCAAACATTTTCTGTTTATTAAAATTCTATCAACAAAGGAATTCTTTACAGCTTTAACTTTTTAAGTTAAAATCATGTCAGAGATATTAATGCCTGTACTTAACTACTAACTTTTATGGTTGTCATCATAATAATAAATATATGGCAGCTAATAACCATTAATTCAAGAACAGCGTCATTGTCGGAAAGTAACCTTATCTGTAATTTTTATACCTCTTCAGTATACTACTCTGAGGTTTTAAAGAAACCTGATTAAATCAATTAAGTATCACTGAGGATTTAGAACTAAAAATTTGTTACAGAATAAAACTCTTAACTTTTGTATGTTACTCCTACAAGTCTTTGTCACTTCAATTCCAGAATTTTACCTAGAATATGAACATCAGCTTCCAGCACAACCTCAGAATAGCTGTCTAGAATAAAAATCCTTTTCATCCTATCTGACTTAAAGTAAATCAAGAAATTAATTAAAAAAAAAGAAAAAAAAATGAAGCAGAGCTAACTTACAAATATAATTTCTACCCATAACAGCCAATATCCTCTGATAACACAGAACATGGAATCAGTCAGTCAATCCCATGCAACTATTCAATTGTTGAATGGAAAGAACACTGGGTTTTCAATCAAAACCCACCGGTCAATGGAAGCAGCATCAAATCACAGGTTGACAGTAGAAAGGCATTTAGACAACATGAAATAAAACCTACCTGTTGAACATCCTGTTGAAAAACACATAGCTGAAGCCTCTGGTGCAAGCGGACCTTACGATGCTGCCAAATATTTTCCAGTTGGCGCTGGTGGTGCAGTACTTCATGGATGACATCCAGAACATGATGAACTGCTTTTGAGTAGTTAGCTGAAGCAGTGAGGGAATCAGAACTCCCAGGAGTCAAAGGTCTCTGAAGTTTGTCAAGCAGTGACTTTCCATCTTGGCTCACCTGACCCCCAGAAAGGATGAAGAATTACTTGTCTTGCCAAAAGCTTGTTAGACTTATTTCATTCCCCACCCCTCTCCCCATTTTAGATGTCTTCAAAAACTCAGGCAGCAGTGATGATGATTTTGTTATTCCAGGCATGATTACATCCAGCTGTTATAGAGGGAAAAAAAACTAAAAAAAATATATATGTGTATATTATCCCTCTATGTAAGACAATTTTAAGAAGTACCACTCTTCTAAAAACAGCCTGTCTTTCAATAACCTTAGGGGTGCTTTTCCTCTAAAGTGGTTTTGTTTTTTTTTTTTTAAACAGGTAAAGTCTAACTTAGAATAAATATTCTTCACCTCTTTCTCTAGTCAACAAAGCCCCTAAAATCAAGCATTTGCCCAGAATTATCCTTCCAGGAGCACCTCTCTCTTTTCATTTGCTGTGAAATTGAACAGGGAGGTTACTTTCTATAGGTTAGCATTAATTCAATTAATACATTTAGACCAAACAGATATGAACTTAGGATATGCTTTGATCTGACATGACTTACAACTTCTAAATAATTACTGTTACTGGTAAGCCAAAGGCAAACTGTTGCTATGGCAAACTTAAACCTGATTAAATCACTTAAAACCTTTCCATGCAGCACAGAAAAATACTCTTTTCCAAAATGTGTTTAACTACTGATGCTGACAAGAAACAATAGTCATTTCTAACTGTTGTTTTCCCTGATTCAAACCACAGCAAAAATACTCAGATTTACCTTGCATGCTAATTTGGTCACTATTAACGTTTAGCACTTGCCAAGGCTGTTGAAACCACTTTTCATTGCTGTTTAACTATTTCGTCATTTTAAGCATAAAGTTCAGAGAACTGTTACAATTCACTATCATTCAGCTATCTGTAAAGAACTTTTCTAATAGCTCATGTAACAGGCAGGAAAAATTAATTCAAAACCACAAGACTGGAGTGTAAACAATAGTCTGAATCCATCAAATCAACACTATGTCAGAAACAGAAAATTTGTCAAAGTCTTCCCCCAGTGGCTATTTTCAACAATTTTCACTAAATCTAGGCACTAAAATTTGCTATTCAGTAGTCAAACAGACCCAAATGAACATTATTTTCTAGTAATTAGTTTACTTCTCAGTTCCAGTTTAAGCTTTTGCATTTTAGTAATAAGTATCAACACAGAGACTGACGCTCACTTGGAAAAGTAGCTCGTATGAAGTCAAGTCAGGCAGAAAAAGGGTATAGTCCATAGTAGCTATTATAATGATGATGATTATTCTTTTCTGTATTCAAAACAATAATCTAGTACAAGTCTTCCAAATATTTCAAGATAATGGACTTTAATTACTTATCCAGAATCCATGAAATTTAGGGGGAAAAAAACATTAACTGTGATAGCCCCTTGATCTGATTAGTTTATTAGCTTTACAAATTATCATGTACATTTCCTCTTTGGAGTTAACACAGTAAAGTTTTCTTCCTTCCCAGTGCATGACTACCTTAAGATTTCAGTGAGATATAGAACTTCATTTCTATATATAACTTCATTTAAGGCACAGCTATTGGATTTTCAAGCACATCAGTTATCTAAGCTCATAAGCTAGTAAATTCCTCTTCTAGTAATATATAGTAATTATCCTCAGTAAAATCAGACTGTCTGGTCTTAAAAGCATTTACTCTCTTAAAATTACTGTATTCTACTTTGTAACCAAGTCATGTTGTTAAGAAATTGTAATCTAAAATGAATGACAGTGTTGTAATTTCTAGTGTTCCTCTCTCCCCACTGTTCATTCATCACAAAATGAAAGGAGCTCCGTGCTGTAACAGAAATGAAGTCATACATCTAATAATGATAAGCAATAGTTCTGTAATATCTTTATGCAGAAAGAAAACTCCATCAATCTTCAAGGAATGTGTGTTTAAATAAGGCAAAAAACCCCGCTTCTGTCCAGAGGAGGAACAAGACTTGTCCATACACATACAACTATTACTTCTGCACCAATTCTGGTTGCTAAAGTTAAAACTATTGCTTTACCAGATGGAGAGAAGTAATGACCTGAAATCAGATGAAAGGCACCTAATGTTTGGGGGTTTTTTTTGAGCAGTACCAATGAAGACTTTGTTAAATCTCTAGCTATCCCAAAGTCAAAAGCTGCAGCTTTGAAATCGTAAATGAATTTTCAAGGTATTTGCTACAGCAATCCTACGATCTATGCATCTAATTTATTTTCATTATGCATCACCAGGAAGCAAACAGTATTTAACACGGTAATCCACCGTACTTATTTATGCTTAACAGCAGGCTCTAATTCAGTCACATCTCTGCTGAAAAAAAACAACCTCGCCCCAATCCAAAACAAAACCAAACAAAAAGAAAATCCCACTGTTTTAACTTCAATGCTTTATAATCATTATTCCAGACAGCCCTAGCCACCTTATTCCTTGCTGCACTCCCACGGAGCATGCACCCCAGCTTGACTCTCTTCACATAAATCACAAACATGCTACATCTCTGTCCCTTGTTTTACAAAGGAGTCTTCCCAATGAAAAGAGGTTATAACAAAGAAAAGAAATCGTCCTACAAAACATGCTCTCAAGAATGAGTTAAAACAGGTATGTGTAGTAGGATCGCACATTTTATCACTGAAGGTGTGCTTCAGTGTGTCATTAAATCAGTTGCCATAGCAAGGTGGCATGTATCAGGAATGGTGATATCAGTGTGTATATTTTATAGAGAAGAAGAACTCATGTGAACTATGGACATCCGACTCATGGTAATAAAGTTTATGCAGGCCCTAAGATGGTAGGTATTAAAAAAATCCAGTTTTGATATACTAAGAATAGGACTGATCATCAGCACTGATCTTTCCCTCCTTTACTGCTAAATGAAATGTGACCAGACTTACGATTCAGTTGGCCATGATAGGACTGGTTCATCAGAAAGTACATTTATCTTCAATGTAATGTATAAATCACAATCATTACTTCAAACCCCCTTGACCTCCTTTTAAAAAGAGATGCAAGCTGTGGCCTAAGCTATCTTGTGTCCACTGATCATTTATTACCATGATTTAATCAAGTGCATAATTTTATGCAACTTTCATGAGAACAGAAACTGCTGTATTTAATCCAGAATAACATTAGTCCAAATTAACAGCAAAAATGGTTTTATCCTGTGATGAGAACAACCCTGGAAAAAGAAAGCAAGAAAAGCTCAATAGGAAATACAGAAAACACCTGTTAGCTAATAGTGAAGTTGATTCCCATTTGATTTCTCACTTCAGCTAACTAAAGCACATGAGAGAACAACAAATTTGAAGAAAAACAATAGCTACTTTAGTCATGGCTTTCTAGGCCACCTTCAGAATAAGCATTTTATCTTAAGTTGTAAATAGAACTATTAGAAATACTGAGAAATATTGTTACTTCATTGTGTGCAGAATCCAAGGTTAAAGCAACAGCACAGGTTATGCTAATCTTACACATGCTGACTACATAGACATGCTGGCTCAGTTCAGTGTCTTTGAGGTTAGCAGAACTGAGTATATAACTTCCAGCTTATCAAGTGACATCCTTTGATGGTTAAGCCTTTCTTGTGAGGCAATTTCAGAGGTGGAATTTCAGCAATCCATACCAACAGAATACTTTCCCAAAGAATACCCATCCAGCTTCCCTTCAAGCAAGTGTTTAAACAGCATCATACTGCTATTAAAAGGTAGTAATATACAAACAGAAATTAAAACATACTTAGTACACTGCATGGATTGTTTGTACCACACATGGTCCCATCTTGCATTTTAAATTTCTTTCAGAAGATTACGAGGAAGACTTAAAACCTAACTTTTGAACAATAATAGTGAAGTCCAGTATACTAAATTAAAAAAGAAGCCTGGCACTTGAGTTTCCAAGTAATGCACTATGCAATGAGTGATGCCAGTTCATGACCCAACCTTAACGTTACCCCATCTTATCAAGTCAGCAACCTAAGGAAAGAAACAAGACACTTACCTCAGAGTAAGCCAACGTAATATGCTCATATATCCCTTGATGATGATGGATAGCATCTTCTAAATCTTGCAGTTCTGAGGGAAGCTCCACCTCACCACAGGCTTTACACCATGAGTCTACATTGCTCATGTACTGCAACAGAGGAAAAAAACATTCTTCTTAATTTTGGGTTCTACCAGTAAGTACACACGTTGGTAATATACAAAAGGACTGCCATCTGTGTGACAGCCACTGAAAAGACTTTTTAAAGGGAAAAAATGATTAATATATTTCTCCCTGAACTGACTAAAACAAAGCTTCTATCAGAATGAAAAAAAATACTCAATTCTGACTATACTTGTGCTTTTAGTTATATGGAACTCTGAGCCATTCACAGACAGGCAGACTTAGTTGTATGTTGGCAGCCTTCAGAACCAATTAAACCATTGGCAATATTGATGCTTCAAGTTTACTCTTGCTCCTTTTCTTGACTTTGCAGCTAAGAAAAAACGTACTTCACCCTGCACCTATTATTTCAGATGCATGAAAGACAATTATGGTCTTGTCTACACAAAGAGGTAAAACATGTTACAACTTTCAAGTCCAGATCCTCAGCTCTTGCCCATCAACTCCCTGTGCAGATACTGACAGTATCATGAGGTATCACCTCACCTTTTTTAAATCTTCAGAGAAAACCAAGTTACTTTGCACATGTGTGTGCATGCACACACACACACAAAGAATTAATGGTGAATTGTTCACTAAAACACTCCATAGTTGTCTTTTGCTGGAAAGAGATCATCAAGAAGGCAAAGCAGTGTTAGAGCACAGCAAATTCACAACTCAGACTCCAAAGCAGTAACTTCTACATGCAGAGAAGTACTAAATCCATTTGGCAAGCTACTACAGCAGCAAGCGTGTAAGGGATTTACAACTTAAGCAAGGGTCTCTTAGGAATAACACTGAACTTTGAGCACAGAGCTATGTCAGCATAGCAGCTCAAGTCAAGCCTTTCAGGGGAAATTGAGGATACTGCAACAGAATCTCTTCTGCAAACAATTTAAGTTATCTCTGATGCTTAAGCTGTCTTGACAGACAAGAAACTGCCATCATAGCTGTATGCACAGCGGAAGTTCTGTCAACTTATTTTTGACAGCTAGGAGGCATGAATTTTAAACCCTCATTATGCTAGGAAAGAATAAAAAAGAAGCCATTTTTCTAGGAGTTTTCATAGGTGTCAAACTTAGTACAGTCAAGCACATGTGGTGTCTGTAAACTGAATTTGTCCTCTATTCGTGTCAAATTCAAGTATCCAAAGTTGTAAGAGACCAAGCCATTCTCTCATCATATGTATTGTAATTCCTGGAGCATGTGTTCCTTTACTTTTGAGGAAAAAGTAATCCACAGACCACTTCCGGTACTCCATTATTGTTTGAAAGCTGGGAAGAAGGATGACAGAGTACTTAATTTTAAGATACTTCTTTAATTCTCATTTCATCAAGAGACAATTTTAAAAATCTCTGATGTTAAGCACTGAACATTAAAAGAAACTCCATGTGAGGCTACAGAGCCTCTTACACCGGTCAGCAGGCATTGACAGCTGGGTGCAGCAGTGACACTTACCTATCACTTGTAAGGGAACACACGCATTCAAGAAGGGTGTGTTATTTCTTTGGCTGCTTATATTTTAATCATATTTTTATGTAGGTCAACCATCACCAGTCTCTAAAGGGGTCATTCCTCTCATTCCAAACCCTCTTTCCTTGAACTCACTCCACTGTTAATGAAACAGCTAATATATCACAGCCAGGTATCTTACAAAGCAACTGTGACAATCCATCATAGTTAATCATCAAATGAAAACTGTGGAAGGAGCAACTAAAGAATAAGTAAATTCATCCCAACAGATGCTGCACTATTTTCTCTCATTCTTCTCTTTCCTCCTGTTTACACTTACATTTAATGCTGAACAAGGCAACGCTGACCCTCACCACAGTTGCCCAGGGCACACACAAAATTTCCTCTCCTGACTTCTGATGAACATAAATTTCATATGAAAATGGACAGCACTTTAGTCAAGGTATACCTATCTGTTCATGTTTCACCATCTCTCTCCTATATGTACGGCTGACTGCGTATAAATGTAAACCTGAATAACCGAAGCAATTAGAAAGGCATCAATACTAATAAGGTACCACACTGTGTCTATCAAATGCTTCAAGCTGGTTGGTGACTTTTATACCAGAAAACAATTCCTTCCTCTCCTTTTTACGTGGCTTTTCTGTAAAACCTGCTAAAAATATTTATTATAGTGGCATCAGCTTATATACTTTACCTTAGTTTGTCCAAAGACAGTTAAACCAATGTCACTGCTAACATAATGAAAAACAATGTGTATTTGCATCTTAACATATTCACATATCTAATTTCTGGACATTTATGAAGTTGAATATCTGTGTAGCAGAAATTCTTAACATAGAGTGTGCTGCCTCTCTCCATTTCTGCAGTTATCAACTCCCAAGTGGTTCCTTCATTTATTCCAAATTAAAGTTATATCAGACATGAGACCTTTTCTTGGATCCAATTTAGCAAGGCAAATCAAAAGGAAAGTATCTACAGCAGTCGTACAGCACGCCAGAGCTCCAGTCAGCCATCCAAGAACTTCTGCTCTCCAAATTCACCAGAGATGTACAGAGCAGACTGTATAATATCAATGGATGACTCAACAGCACACACATAGCAACTCCTTCAGAACTGAATTCCCTTGAGGGGAAAACATACTTTCACCATCAAGACTATTAACTCGGGGATATTTATTCCTATTTCCCCCACATATACCTCTTCTCTGACAGTTACACACGGCTAATGACTTAATTAAAATAATTGTTATAGGCCTAAAGCTAAAATTTTTGTTTAATATAGGAGGAATCTCTTATGGGATACTAAGTAAACATCTCCCACCACAATTTCAGATTCAGAAGACAGTTAATTAGCTTCTCAACTTTCAGGCCAGTTCAACTTAGTTTTCTATAAGCAATTACTATGAGTTAAATTTTGACACTCAAGGACTGATCAGGGTGGAGTGGTGAGGACAACAGAACAAGTGATGATTTTGGGATGTTGGAAAGGCATTATATTGATACTGACTACACTAATTTTTTTCCTTTCTTTCTTTCAACTTAAAAGCTTTATATAGTTAAGGATTTATGTCCACTTCATTTTGATTCATATATCTAATTTGGCTAAGTTTTATCTTGCATTGATGTGGGCAAGGTATTTTGTGGAGAATATAAGGGCAGTGGGCTGTCCTGGGGAGAACAAGTTTTTATTTGAGTATCAGCTGAAATCGGCAGAAATGAATGCTCTGGCCTCCTTGCCAACTCTCTTGTACTGCTGTCTAAATCAAAAGCAAACAGTACAACTCACCATTCTGGCACGGAAACTTTGTTGGCACCCTCCCCGTCCACTAACCTGTTCAGCTTTCTGATGGAAGATGGAGGACATATCCAGTAATGTGCTACGTTCATCCAAGGCTGCAGCAAACGCCTTCCATTCTTGCTCCAACTGACTAGCAATCTGTTTTATTTGCTGTGAAGCATAATGGCCAGACTCGACCAGGCGATTTGCTACTGACATGATCCGGTTTATGTTTACATACACATTCTATGGAGAAAAAGAAGGGAAACATTAGTGGAAGTTAGCAGACCACTTAAATACAGAGATACAGTTCTATAAAATTCTTCTTTATTACAGTATTGCTGAATAGACTGGTTTTATTTGCCAAGTTAGTGCATGCCTAACTTTCGAATCTAAGTGTATAATGTAACAGTCTATCTGTATTATTGACAAGGGAGAAGGACAACTTGAAGTGACTAGAGAGTCTCAAGCTAACATCACTGGTCAGCTTAAAACAAAGTCATATTATATGAAGATCCACTATTACAATGGAGTGGAAAAGTTAACCGTATTTTGCAACAGCTTCAGTAAGAATGTTTTACAGACGTTCAAATCAACAAGTCATTCAGACACACACAATATAGGAAAATCAAAGTATAATTAGTAAGCACTTGATCTATCCATGATATGCATGTGTGGAACATCACTCTATAAACCTTTACATTAACTTCTGAAACTATTTCCACTTTTTAAGTAACAAAATATGGCACTCTGAATTCTAAGGAGTTCAAAAGTTCTAGATTTTATTTTCCTGCCACTATATTGCCTCAGAGCTAGCACTGAAAACTAGACAAGTAAGGTCAAAGATCAGAAAGATTCTATAGCATACTGGCATTACTCAGTGATGGCTCTTAGTCACTCTAATTTTCTTTCCTTTTAGCTCACATATGCATTTTGGCCTAAGGCATCTAAAATTTGTTCCTATTCTGATTCTCTATGAAGAAACAATATTTTTCAAAGGAAGCAATCAAGTGTTTTTGATTCCTGTAAAGCCAGAAACAAGAACAACTTCACCACCAAAAGGTTTCTGAGTAGCTCTTCCAGAGCTACATGGATATAATGCTGAGTTGACACTTCTTTCAATTGGGCTGACTCTGATACATCTGGAATTAAGTTCTTAGAATCAGAGCATCCTTGAGGTTTGAGACCATCTAGTCCAACCCCCCTGCTCAAAACAGGCTCAAAATCAGAGCAGGTTGCTCAGGGTCATGTCCAGTGGGCTTCTGAGAATCTCTAAGGTTGGAGCGACCACAGTCTTTCTGGGCAACCTGTTCCAGCGTTTCTTATGTTTAAATGGAATTTCTTGTATTTCAGCTTGGGCCCATAACCTCTTGTTCTGTTACTGGATACCATGGAGAAAAGTCTGGTTCTGTCTTCTTTACTACCTCCCATCAGATATTTATATTTTTATATATGTAAGATCCCTCCTAAGCATTCCTTTATCCAGGGTAACCAATCCCAGCTCTCTCAACCTCTCCTTGTATAATACAAGTATGGCATACAGGTACTTCAGAGAAGAACTTGGTCATGGTGACTTCCCAGGAAGGGAATGAGAGCTTTCCACATAATGCTGTCCTGTAGGCACATTCTAATTTGTGTGTGTACACTTGGAGCAACACCAGTTCACCCATTTTGTTGATTACAGTGTCCCTTTTGTTCACATACCAGCAGACCCCTTGCTTGCCTACCCAGTCCACCACTTGTCACTTGGTTGTTGGTCCTCTTCTCACTCTCCCATTATTCTTACCCTAAAGCTCTTATCAGGTTGTCCAGCCTGCTGGCAAAGATACTTTTGCCCCACTTAAGTTGAATAGCAATCCTTGATCCTCAGAGAGGGTCACATGGTTGTAGAAACCAAAACCCTGTTGCCAACATCAGCTGTGTAAACAGTTGTTGACCTGCAGGATCCCTCTACCCTCTCACCAGCAGGATTCAGAAGAAAACCACCTAGGCTCCCTTGCCCTTGACCATTGCCTCTGGAGCCATGCAGTCATGCTTGAGACTTTCCAGGTCACCCCTAGCAGTATCCCTGGTGGTCACACAGAAGAGTGGTAGGGGGCAACAGTCTGAGGGCTGGACAAACTTTGGCAGCCTTTCTTCAACACCCCAAATCTGAGCCCCTGGCAAGTAGCAAACTTCCATAGTGAATGAGTCAGTTTGGCAGATGGGGATCTCGATTCCCTGCAAAACAGAATCTCCCATTACCATCACTCGCCTCTTTCTTTTGGTACTCCTGTGTGGCTCAGACTCAGATGGCACAGATTCTTTATTTGAAAGTTCCCAGCTCCTCCTCAGCCATAAGGTCAGTGAACCTATTCTGTAGCTGCAAATCTTCAGATGGAGCAGAAACCTTCCTCCTAATGCCAAAAGTCATTATCTTCCAACCTTCATTATCATGGGAGGCTCCACTTCCCAGACAGACAGGCACAGACCCTGCCTGACACCTTCCTCCCTTCAGCACAGATGGTAGTTTGGGCTCTTGAAGCTGCAGAGTGTTGGAAAAGACCTGGTCAATCTCTTTCTCATTATCTCTGATGCTGTGCAGACTGCTGACCTCCTCCTGCAGCTCCTTTACTTGGCGACACAGTTGCTTAATAACCACACACCTCCTGTAAGCAAGGAAACCATCTCCTGCTGCCCCAGCCTTGCCAAGAGGCCACAGGCATTCCCCTACAGCCCTGGACCTGCAGAACTGTGTCCTTCTTCTGGAGCTCCCTCTGCGTTGAGACTTCTGATGTTATAGGGATAGTTAGTCCAGCAGTAGCTGGGGCCTGTGCCCTGGGGCAAATCACCACCATTGCTGAGGACATGGATGCTGTTCTGAGCAGACTTGCTGTCTCTTTCTGCATGAACTGCAGCACAAACTGCTCCGTCCATTGGCTACTTATGTTAGCTGCGCTCATTCTTGCCTACATTCTAAAAATTTACATGTGGGGCCAAACTGCCGAACACTATCCCACAGAACGGTTGAGAAGAAAACAATGAAAACCATTAAAATCTCAACATTCTGCAGTGAAATATTTTTCCCTCTTGTCCATGCAGTGCTTTCTGGAATGCAAGCCCGCAGCAAATGCCATAGAGCATTTAGCTACATAGCAGCAGCAGCATCGCAACCTGTTACAATCAAGGGTTGAGGAACTGAGTCCAGTGAGCCAGGGGGAGAGAGAACTAACTGCAACAAGCCTCAGTAAAGGCCACAGAGAAAAAGTGACAGAAGAACAAAACCTGAAACTGCTGGAAAACTGTATGGTTCTATTACTGTTGAGAGGTGTGACAGACAGCCTGTGCCAAAATCTGACTATATCCCTGTCAGTAAGAGAGGTCAGGGGAGAACGCTGGCACATAGACACCCAACGTGGCATAGACACTGAGCATTTGAGGTGGAACCATTACCTGTTGGCATCGAGTCACCGTGCAGAGCCTGACACTGACAGGCTGCAGCAAGTGTTGCAGTTCCTCCAGGATTCACTGTGCTGACTCATCTGAGCGGCAATTGGCACAGGTCTCTATTAATTGTAACTGTGTGCATGTATGCCAGAAGGAGCACACCCAACACAGCCTACATCTCAGCTGGTCCACTTAATAAACTGAGCACAGCAGTGTCGAGTTGGCTGCTTTTGCTGCCTGCACAATATCACCTTCTCAGCTTATAGGTTATCCCACACATCTATGCTGTCCTTTTAAGCACAAACAACTGGAAGAGAACAGAACTGCTATGTCCAACAAATTTTAAAAGACTGGAGAGCATGTAGGCCTATTAATGTGTATGTAGCATAAATACAACACTGCGAAATGAATACAGAAAGCCATTACATGGTCTTTACAGTGGTGTGAAAAAAACGTTGCAAAAGAGAAGAGAATAAAGGCTGTATTAGACTGCCATTTGAACTGTTTGTGTATCATAATACAGGGAAATTCCGGAACATCAGTTAGATATGAAGGACAGGGCACCATAAATGTGAATTTAAACAAATCAAAACTGAGCTGTGGTTAAAATGCATTCATTTTCCCATGGAAATCTGGCTTCATGAGTGTGGAAGAATACCCCCTGTGGTAGTATGAATATGAATTAATAATGAATTAATATGCTGACAGTTGAAGACTTTCCAAGCTATGTATACCACATTCCTTTCCTAAAAAAAAAAAAAAAAAAAAAAAAATTTCTTTTAACAGTCTTAACCTTTCTCCCCTGCCCCCCCTCCCCATCATATCCCTCATGACTGGGTATATCTACTAAAGGTTTATGTTTCAGTATTTTAGAATGCAATGACCCAAAAGAGACAGATTAGTTAAGGAGGAAAAGAATCTCAATAGCAACTCACTACAATTGGACTGTCTTTAACGGATCTTTGAAGGTTAACAAATTTTGTTCAATTTTCTAAAAGGACAGACAGGTCCATTCTCATTATTACATGACAAACACATATTTTGTGCGCTGCTGGAGAAACACTGTTCCAAGTAAGCTGGTGCTCATTCCCCAGGGACTGAAGTCTTATTCATTGCATGGATTTACATGCTGATTTTAATTAAAGAAGCAACAGCTATCAGCTCATAACTGTTAAAGACATTCAGCCATCTTATTTACATCATATTAATCTGCATGAAACATCTGCAGCTTCTAAATGTGTATCAACTGTCCAAAAAGTGAAAGGTTAAAGTGATACTACATTTCTTTCATTGTGTCAGACACGACTATTGTAACAAAACTAAAAAGGGAACAATTCTCATTATTGTATTACAGTATATATAGTAAGTACACAAATCTACTTAGTACAACTATTTTCTCTCACAATGCCCTTTAGCCAGAAGCTGGAAAGACAGCTTACAGTATCTAGAAAGCTCCTCGTTGCAGAATTATTCCCTAAACAGACTGTACATATAAAAAAGTATTGCTCAACAAGGCAACACAGATTAGTAGCCTAACACAAGCAGTAGTGCACTGTGTCATTCTTTGGTGTGTGCCTAAAAGGCAAGTACACAGAGGAAAATACAGGTGACAGCTTGCTAGCTTAACTTAACTTCTATCACACTCAATACAAAATAAAGTTGGAAGATGCCCTGGAGGCTCTATTTTATTTCCTGATTTTCCCAGACCCATTTAGAAAACGTTTGTTTAGCTCTAGGATTTCAAACAGTAGCTTTCTGATACAGAGACTATTAAGCATTCAGTTGTTAAAACTACCACCCCAGTGACATTGTCCATAAGC